AAATCAAGCAGATGCACAGCTAAACACTTGACACTCTGCAGCGACTGCTGCTTGAGACTTGAAGACGCTTTCTAGGTACGTGTAACTCCCCTTGGTGCCCCTCTGAAGACCTGTAAGGGTGACGAGGATGTCTGCCTATCCTGGACCATATGCACACATACCGTCCCTGATCCAGGCTCTGAAAAGGTGACTAACAGGCTAAGAAAAACAGAGGACAATACTACTGCAACTTCAGAGAGCAAAGCAATGCAAGACCGTTTTATATAAATGACAATCAAAGCCAATGAGATTTGTTAGTGTCCTGAATGGTCTCCAGAGGGAAACGCTAATGGCCACAGCGCTGGTGATGCTTCAATTTAATTCAAGCAGATCAGTGAAAAACAAGAGTAGCACGGGGTTGCCTATCTCGGTGGTTCACTTCCAAACTTGAATAATAAAAAACTAGACCAACAAAGAGAAGAGCTCAGATCAGGTTTTACGCCCCTTGAAGGTGGCAAAGATTTACCAGATGTACAATACCATACAGGAGTACTTCAAACATCAACAGCTGAGCTTTGTTACTCCTTCTTTCCCAAAAGAAGGGATTACATGAGCACTTTGATGGGGGAGTGGGCGCAGTCCTTCCTTTCAGCTTGGGGCTGTGACCACCCCTCTCTGCAAGAGCGTAACGAGCATCACACCGAGAAACTCCTGTGGTGAAAACATCGAGAGGAAAGCAAACTGGAGTAAACCTAACAGAAGAATCTTAAGATGTTCTATTCTACACTGCCTTACTAACTGCTGGTTTAGAGAGCGTTACCTGAGAGCACAGGTTTGGTTTTTAAAGGAAAGGTTGAGAGGAACGGGTGTTTCACACCACCTGCCGCGCAAGAGAAGAACCTATACGGGCCAAACCTCGAGGCTGCGCGTTTCGCGCCCCAGCCCGAAGCCCGTCAGCGGGTTGCGACCAGCACCTGGTCCCCACGGGGCAGGATGGGACACGTCGGCCTGGGCCGCCCCGCACGACACCCAGCGCGGGGGGCCCTCACCGCGACCACGGTGCTCGCTCAGCCCCGGCACCTGCCTCCCAGCAGGAGGGAAAGGGCGACCCGAGAGCTTCGGGTGCCGGCTACAGCACCCTGGGGCCGAGATCCGCCAGGCACGGCTCGCCAAACGCCAACGGACCGGGAACTTTTGAGAGCGCCGTGCCCACCGGCGCGGGCTGGAAACCAGCTCCGGGCCGGTTATTCCCCATAAATCCCAGCTGACCTATTTCTTGCCTATACATGTTGATCGCAATTAAATGCATTAAGCGCCTTAACCTCCCGAGAAACAACGCTGACCCCGGCCGGGCAGGGCACGCTGCTGTCAGAGCGCCGGGTCCCCGGCGGGGCGGGGGGTCCCGGGGCGATGCGGGGGGGTGTCCCGGTGCTC